GGGTAAAAAAATGTGAAAACTCTTTTATAGGCTTCTTAATCGAAAACTTATCAACGGGCAACCACCAAGAGCAGGATGAATTTTAATAATTTGAGTGCAATGTCTAAAATTAGTTATGGTAATCTCTAAAGAATAAAATGCAGATACCTTAAAAGTAGTGGTCCAAAAGGTATTATTTTATATTTGTTATCTTGTACAAAATCTAAATACAATTTTTATATAAGTATGCCACTTGTAACAAAATATTTTCTTCATTAACTGTCTAATATTAAAGTTTCTTCCCTCAAGTGCTATGCAGAAAATATACAGTAAGATGCAGCTACTGTGTACGTTAAGTTAAAAAGCTTTATATTACATGTTGATGTACCATTTATCTTTTGAAATATATATCCCTTATTACAGTACATAAACATGCAGTATCTTCATTTAAAAGGTAAAACACAAACTTATTTAAACAATTTACCTACCTGTTATACCAGTAATTCAGATGGGATCAAAACGCTCTTTCTCTACCGATGTTCCACACCTGTCACTTCATGCATCGGAAACAATAACAAACACATTTTGAATTTGCCTCGTGTCCCAACGCCCGTACCTGACCTGTTGCACTTTCTTCCCTATCATGGATTTCCCTACCACTTCATGCATCGGAAACAATAACAAACACATTTTGAATTTGCCTCGTGGCCCCATCGCTTATCTGAGTGATGGCTATGAGCTGGTGAAGTATATTGAACTGTGCAAAAACCAAGTCTCAATATTTCTGTTTGATACAATAAATAAATGATATTTAAAGAAATAATGCATTTTTTCCCAAATTTCCTGCCTTGGGCAGGACTTAGGCCTAGCTAGGCTAGGTACTGTACTGTAGGCCCTAGGTTAAGGAAGAGGTCTAAGCTTCAACGAAACGACGATTTTTCTTTTTTGTCCCCTGCAGACTTATCTCCTTTTTTATATAACAGGACAACATCAGCATATTTCCAAGACTCTGGTACTATTCCTTCTTTCATAAACTTATTAAAGATAATAGCCAACGCTTCCCCCAAAATATCAGAATTTTCTTTTAAAATACGTATGGATCTAGGCATAGTTAGGCTTAGGCCTAGACGCCCTACTACTATTACTACATTTTACAGTTCAGTTAATAATATAGAAATTATATATATATATATATATATATATGTATATATATATTATATAGATAAGTTCAGAGTAAGTTTCAAAGGTTAGCTAATAATATTCAATATTAATAACATATTATTAATAACATATTTAAAACATTAGATAAATCTGGTAATACGGCTAGAAATACTGTCGTATATAATATATGATATTGATATATGATATTGAAAGGAGTTAGCCGTCAACACTGTTGAATAAATATAATATAAATCATCAAAGGTACATATACAGTGTTTACATAAGGACATAATGGAACATCGTAGGCTACCCTGTAGCTTTCAACGAATGAAGTCCTATAAAAGTCATTGTGTAATAAAATGCCTCAGACGGGATTCGAACCTGCGACCTCTCGCTGAAAGGCGAGCGTCATAACCACTAGACCACGAAGGCTTCATGGTTGAACAGGTTCAAATAAACGTCGGGAACATTGTATTACACAATGCTACTCCTCAAGAGGGCGTTCAGCAAGATAAATCTGGTAATACGGCTAGAAATACTGTCGTATATTATATATGATATTAAAAGGAGTTTGCCGTTAACACTGTTGATTTATCTGGCCGAACGCCTTCTTGAGGCGTAGCATTGTGTAATACAATGTTCCCAACAATTATTTGGACCTGTTCAACCATGAAGCCTTCGTGGTCTAGTGGTTATGACGCTCGCCTTGTCGGCGAGAGGTCGCAGGTTCGAATCCCGTCGAAGGCATTTTATTACATAATGACTTTTATAGGACTTCATTCGTTGAAAGCTACA